TTAAAGGAGAACTATGAGGTGAGTGCTTTTCACTCACCTCATAGTTCTAGCCGACCTGTGACAATGAGACTGTCACAGGTCGGCTCAGTAGATCGGGAGGTGAGCGAACGCATACCAGCGTTCGCTCACCTCTCGATCCTGTCACGGCTCTCTGTCGTGACAGGGGAGGGGCTGGATTCCCCACTCCCCCTCTCCGATCCGCCAGCGCTGACTGGCGGAACTGACGGGGGAGGGGGCGGGTACAGCTGGCTCTGCCTCTAGATAGGCAGAGCCAGCTGTCACTCACGCAGCTGGGCGGATCCCGGCACAATTGTCGGGATCCGATTCAGCTGCCGCGTCTCAGTATATAGGGAGCTACAGTTGGCAGTATACTGAGCTTAGGGTGACGGGAGGATGCTAGTTTGTGTCCTCCCGTTACCCTAAGGAGAACTATGGGGAAAATACTTAACCCCATAGTTCTCCTTTAAAGAGTACCTGTACCCCTGTATGTCCTGGTCTCTGAGGAAATTGTCCAAATGCTTTTTGAATGATTCCACACTCTCAGCTGATACCACGGCTTGTAGCAGCGAGTTCCAGACCCTGACCGCTCTAACTGAGAAGAATCCCCTACACCCCTTGTGCTTAAATCTATTCTCCACCAATTTTAGGTGGCGGGCTCTAGTCCTTGTTATGGAGTTTGCCGTAAAAAGTTTATTGCTGATGTTGCCATCACCATTGAACATCTTGTACATCAAGTTGTTGTCCCCCCTTAATGTCCTCACTTCCAGCGTGAACATGTTTAAGTTTAGCAACCTCATCTCATAGCTTTGGTCCTCCAGCCCCTTCGTTAGTTTAGTTGCCCTTCTCTGGACCCTTTCCAGCTCAAGGATGTCCTTTCTGTGGATTGGTGACCAAAACTGGACCGTATCACTGGAAGGAAGGTCACGCGGTGAGGCTGACGAGTCCTGTGAATGGGTCCTGCTGGCTTATGAGCGGACTCTGCCGGGACCCTTAACAGGGGATCAGGATGAAGCTTTGTCGGCAATCCAGCCTTTCAATACAACTGGCTGCTTTAGAATAAGGCTTCATTCACACTGTGTGATTTGTGATTCCTGCGGCAGGATACTCAATTGTCCCATTTAGCTCCGGCCAATGTACCCGTTCAAGTTAATGACCGCTGTCACCCGGTCATTAACTTGAACCTGTACAGCGCCTGCAGCTAAATGGGACGTTTCGGATTCTTGCCGCAGGAATGCCATATGGCATAGCGTGAATGAAGCCGCAATATGTGAGTGTGTAAAGTGAACTCTATACTTCACCTACATGTTCACATTGGAGGTGAGGAGATTAAGGGCGGATATGATCTCCATGTACAAAATGTTCAATGGTGGTAGCAACATT